TCAAGCGCCAGCAGTACCAGTACCAGGAAGAGCAGCAAGACGACTTGGGCTATGTGCAAGATCTGGGGCTAATGGGCAATTTTGTGTTTCCCGCCGTCCAAGACGCGTACAGCTCGCTCGAGTCGCTGCACGCCCACTTCCCCCACGCCACGCCCCCGCCGCTGCTCGCCGCCGCCGCCATCGCCGGCCTCGACCCCTCGCCGTCGCCCTCGTCGACCCACTCGCTCTCGCCGTCCCCCCGCTCTCCGCCGCCCCTTGCGCTCCCCGTCTACTCCCAGTCCGGCTTCGACGTCGTCTCGCTCCTTGCGCGCGTCCAGAACCGCCGCGACCCCCACGTCCGCCTCGGCCCGATCGACTTTACCACGAGCTTCGTAGTCGTCGACGTCCGCCGCCACGACGACCCCATCGTCTACTGCTCGCCCTCCTTCTGCGCGCTCACGGGCTACCACGAGCGCGCCGTCCTCGGCCGCAACTGCCGCTTCCTCCAGGCGCCCCCGATCGCCGCCTCCGCGGGCAACAACACCGCGCCGGCGCTCAGCAAGGGCGACCCGCGCCGGCACACGTCCCCCGCCGCCGTGCGCGCGCTCGCCAAGGCCGTCAGCGGCCGCAAGGAGGCCCAGGCGAGCGTCGTCAACTACCGCGCGGACGGCACCGCCTTCGTCAACCTCGTCAGCGTCGTCCCGCTGTGCGGCGAGCACGCGGACGACCCCGCCGCGGAGGTCGTCTGGTTCGTCGGCTTCCAGATCGACCTCACCGTGCAGAGCGCGGGCATCGTCGAGCGCGTGCGCGAGGGGCGCTACTATGCCGGCGCGGTGATGCGCGAGCAGGAGGAGGTGCGCGCGGGCCCGGAGGACGCACGGGCGGGCCCGGCGAAGACGCAGAAGGCGCTCGAGGGCCCGACGAGAGAAAAGCGCGCGCAGCCGGTGGCCGCGCCGCGCATGGCCCCGGCGCTCGCGCGCCTGCTGACGCACCACGCCTTCCTCGCGTCGTGCAACATCCACCCCCGCTCCCCGCGAGCGGTGGCCTTCCCCCCGACCCCGCGTCCCACGCGCTCCACGCGCTTCTGCTCGCGGAGCTCCCCGACTTTGTACACGTGCTCAGTCTCAAGGTTCTTACGCCCCGTTCATTTTAGTTGTTTTTTTGCTGACAGGCACGCAGGGCGCGTTCCTGTACGTCGCGCCGGCGGTGACGCGCGTGCTCGGCTGGGCGCCGACGGAGCTCGTCGGCCGCGGTATCGCGGACCTGTGCTTTAAGAGCGACGTCGTGGCCGTGGGCCGCGCGCTCAAGGAGGCGAGTCTCCCCGTGGAAAACATCAAAGAAGAGAAGGGCGAGAAGGGTACGTGGTTTCTCTTTGTTTGCGACTCACCCCGTCCCCGTTCATGCCCGCGTCCCCTCCGTCCTTCTTCCTTCTGGTCTCGTCCGCTTCCACTTCCCTGCTCTTCCCCGTTTTCCCGTCCTTCCTCCGCGTCCTCCCCGTATCCGTCCCCCTTCCCTTTCCTCCTTCCCCCGCCTTCGTTTCTCGCTTCCACTTTCGCCTCCCCTCCTTCTTTCTGCTCTCGTCCTCGTCCTCTTGCCCTCCTTCTCCTTCTCCTTCCCGCTTCCCTTTTCCGCGTCCTCCCCTTCTTGCCGTCCTTCCGTCCTTCCCCCCCCTTCCTCGCCGCCCCCTCCCTCGAACGAAACACACACTAACACACCCCCCAGCCGCAGCCCCCGACGCCCTCCTGCGCACCGTCGACCTCGTCTTCCGCGCGCGCACCAAGCGCGGCGCGTGGGTCTGGGTCGAGTGCCGCGGCCGCCTGCACGTCGAGCCCGGCAAGGGCCGCAAGGCGATCGTGCTCATTGGGCGCGCGCGGGCGATGGTCGGCGCGATGGATGTCAGGGAGCAGGGTGCGAGTACGGTTGGGTATCAGCAGCGGCAGGGGGCGACGCCCGTGTCGTATCAGCAGCAGCAGTACCAGCCGCAGCAGACGCAATCCAGAGCCCGCGCTCGCCGACGGGCTCGGCGAGCAGCCTCGAGTGGGCGCTGCGCCCGAATTTGAAGCGTGCGCGGATCGAGGTGCGTTTTCTTCCGCTTTAGAAAAAAAAAAAAGAAGAATGCGGGCTGATGCACGTGCAGCCCGCGCCCGAGACCAATACGACGACGGACGCCCCGGGGCCGGCGTTCCACGGGCTGCTCGACGCGCACGGGCTGCTGCTCTCCGTCGGCGCGGGCGCGAGCGCGCTGCTCGGCCACGAGCCGCTGGCGCTGCGCGGGACGCGCATGGCCGCGCTGCTCGTCCCCGGCGCCGCGCAGACGAGCGTGGTGGCGCGCCTGCTCGACGGGCTCGCGCCGGGCGAGGCGCGCGAGGCGGCGTGCGTGATGCAGGGCCGCGCGGGCGGCGTGGGTGTCGTCGTGCGCGTCGTGGCGCCGCGCGGGGTGAGCGCGGGCGTCGGCGTCGGCGCACTGCCGCCGGCGGTCGCGCGCGCGCGGGTCATGTACGAGGTGCGCGCGGCGGGGGCGGCGGGGGCGGGTGTGGGGCAGACGGGGAAGGGGTTCAGTGCTGATTTCGGGCGGCTGGACCCGGCGACGGGGGGGAGCTGGCAGTATGAGCTGCAGCAGCTGCGGTTTGCGAATAGGAGATTGGAGGAGGAGATTGGGGAGTTGGAGAGGGGGGAGAGGGAGAGGGAACGTGAACGCGAACGCGAGATCGAGAGGGAGCGCGAGAGGGAAAAGGATAGGGAGCGGGAGAGGGAGCGCGAACGCGAGCGCGAGCGGGAGATGTACCAGGCGCAGCAGCGGTACGCGTACGAGGCGCACCAACAGCCGGTGTGGGGTACCCGTCCGCGTACCAGCTCCCCATGAAGCGCGCGTGGGACCGGCGGGAGGACGCATAGGCAAAAAAACGAGCCTGCTATGGATTCATATACACGGACTAGGCGGTTTCTCTCGGTTTATCTTCCCCATGTTCTCGCGCTGTGCCTGCTGTGTGTATTTGTATCCCGGTTTAATGCGAATTTCTTGTGTACATATGTACTGGTATGCAATGGATGTGAATTTTTATGCTTTTCCTTTGGTATATTCATAACGACCCTACAGCAGCGGCTCTCGACTGCTCGAGAGGCGGTTTAAATGTATGTACACGTCGGTGCCAAAGCCGTCCATTGCGATGAGGCGGAGGTCGCCGCCGAAATAGCGCGCGTACAGGCGCGAGAGGGGCAGGCCGTAGCCGAAGCCCGCCATGGGCGCCTTGAAGTCGCTCGCGTGGAAATTCTGGTCGATGCCCTGGCCCTCCATCGTGGTGTACATGTACGTCCAGATGAGCGGGATGGCGCTGCGCGGGATGCCGCCGCCCTCGTCCGAGATCTTGATCGTGATGTCCTCCTTGCCCTCGACGACGACGACCTTGATGGGCGGGAACGCGCCCTCGGCGTCCGCGCCGTGGCGCTCGACGACCGCGCGGAGCGAGTTTTTGAGCAGCTCGAAGCAGATGTGCGAGAGGTGGCCCGGGACGTAGGGGAAGGAGAGCGCCGGGGGGCAGATGAGCTGCACGGGCGGGCCCTTGAACATGGCGTAGTGCTCTTCGCAGACGAACCGCGCGTTTTCGATCGCTTCCTGGACGATGTCGTGCACGTTTGCCTGCGTGCAGATGATCCCCACGTAGTCGGGGTGCGCTTGCTGGGTGTTTAGCGCGATGTCTGCGGGGAAGTTAGAAGAAGACGGATACGCGGGGGAGGGCGGCACGTACGCTGGCCGATGAGGAACCGGATGCCGATGCGCGACATGTAGAAGCGGTCGAGCCACTGCTGAATGTCGAGGCCGATGGTCTTGGTGCCCTGGCTCTTCTTCCACTCGAGGACACCCTGCGCGACGGTGGTTACCGTGGGGTCGTGACGGCTCTTGATCGTCTCGAGGGTCTTGGTGAAGCGGGTGTTGTAGTGCGCGACCTCGGGCGGCCAGCTGATGCCTTGCGTGTTCGCGTAGTATCTGGGCCACGGGCCGCATTAACGCTGCTGCTGCAAAAGGTGGGCCCGCAGCGGGCGCACGCACCGGCGCTCCATGGGCACACGCAGCTTGAGCTTGTTGAAGCCGTTGCCGTTCGCGCCATTGCCGTTCGTGAAGCCCGCGCCCTGCATCGACGGGTTCGGGATCGACTCGGGCAGCGTGATCTCGTCGGGGCGCGGCGTCATGAGCGCCTGCCGGATGTTCGGCGGCAGGGTGATTGCGGGGAAGTTGATGAGCTCCTAGATTGGGCGTGAGAGGGGGCACACGAGCAGCAGCGGGGGCGCACCTCGAACGACTGAGCGTACCAGTTCTTCACCTTGTTTATCGAGGGCATGGCGCTGAGGTTGTGTGGTAGTTCGTCGAGCTCTTTCACGCGGTGCGCGAGTCGCACGGGCAGTTCCTCTGCGCGCGCCACGATTGGTATGTGCTTTGAGTCATATTATTGCGCACTCACCGGCAAGGAATTGGCTGGCTTTCAGGAGGGTGCCCTGGCTTGGGTTCTGGCCAAAGAGGACCATCTGCTGCAGCGAGACTGGGGACGTGAGACCGGGTTGCTCGCGGGACCACGACGTCGGTGCTCACCGCCGGTCTGGGGAAAGGAAGCAAAGTGGTGTATCCGGTCCCATAGGGCGGGGGAGATGCGGAATCCAGCCGACATGGTAGGCAGTGTCGTCGAAGGGTCTATGGCTGCAGGCGCGGGACCATATATGAATTGAGCAAACGGAGCTCGAAGTCGATGGTATTGCCGTAATCACATGCACAAATCATATTTGCCGATGTTTCTCTACGTCCTCGGCGCGACCATCAAAAAAAATGCCCGGAACCCCGCAAAAGGCCGTCATTTTCATCCCAAGAATCGCGGTGCTGACAAGAGCCTCCGTCCAGTAAATCAACAAGTTGACCACAGGGCCCAAAAGGTCATTTATAAAGTTACCGATTCGATTTCGGGTTCTAGGTATCGGCCGAGTCAAATGATTGATTCCCCTGCTCTATATCTAGAGTTTAGGTCATGGATCATGGCCTGATGGTCTAGTAGTATGATTCCTTGTTAGGGTGTTTCACCAATATCGAGGAGGTCCTGGGTTCAATTCCCAGTTAGGCCCTATTTTTATTTTGTTCTCTGTACGTCATTCATCATCATCACCTGTATATACGTTAGGCAATGTAAAATTTTATATATTATCATCCTGTTATATCCTAAGCCAGAGGGAGGAAGGACCCGGAACCTGCAGGGGTCCAGTCTGGCACAAGTCCGGAAACCGGAGACCAGAACGGGACTGGAGTCCAAAGATGTTGCTATTCTCACAAGCACCACAACTCAGAAGGGTGTGCGACAGTCTGGCTCCAAGCCAAGACAAGGATATAACAAGATGATGATATATAAAATTTTACATTGCCTAATGTATACAGGTGATGATGATGAATGACGTACAGAGAACAAAACAAAAATAGGGCCTAACTGGGAATTGAACCCAGGACCTCCTCGATATTGGTGCAATACCCTAACAAGGAATCATACTACTAGACCATCAGGCCATATAAATTGGAATTTCCCTAATGCTAACACCAGCAGCTGTCTTCCATTTCTGAACTCCAGAATAAGTAAGCATTATGTATGGTGTATCTCTGTGTTATATCCCGTGCCAATGAAGGGGTGATGACCAATGGACTTCCAAGATACCGGAAGTCAGAAGATCAAAGAGATATGTAAGAGCGCAAACACCACAGGGAATAAGGGTGCTACCAGGGCCAGCGGGGCGGAAGAAGTAAGACCAGAGGTCAGAAGACCGGAAAATGACACAAGATGCAAAGCAGAGAGGCAAAGCATGTTAATAATCAAACTGAAGTACAGGATGCTACAAGGCTGTATTTATACTAAGTCTAATATCAACTACCTTAATGGGTATAAGTAACATGACGGATGGAGGTAATAATAAGAAGTCCAAATGCAGACAAAGAAGTAAGTAGTCCACATGTAGTGTATAAAGAAATTTCTAATATGGACACAGACCATATTGATGAGGAACTCATGTGTGTCCCACGAGTTCGAGACACAAGGCATGAAGTCAGGGCTGAGCAGGGTCTGATGTCGAAGGCGGATAAATGGGAAATGCTCAGTAATCCTTCATTGCATGAAAACCTGATGATGATCCGTTCACTCGACTTCCAAGATCCGGAAGTTGGATGACTGGAAGATCCAATCAGACCAAGGTTTGGGGCACAAATATAACAGAGACACAGCACCTGAGCTCAGGGAAAGGAGGAGTTGTGGAGCAACTTAACCATTTCAAAGCCATGAGCCATGCATGCTGAGCAGAAGAGATCCTCTTATACAGTGATAAATTACAGCCTTTTGCGGAACTTAGGGCGCGGCCGTTTTTTTTTCCGTTTTGGGCCGTTTTTGGCGGGTTTGACCAGATCGACCGCCCTGGGCTCAGTTCTTTATATATCGTTCCGGAAACTATATGGGCATGTTCGTACGGCGATTTCAGAGGGCTCCACGTCCTCGGATTACTTATACAACCTTTCTGTAGAATGACAATCAATTTTATATGATTTTCACGGAGATCCGGTGCTGTGTGGTGAAATCGTATAGTATCAAGCCACGGTGTGACCGAAAAATACCCTTTATCCCTCCGGAGGGCTCCATGTTCTCAGAATGTGTATAATGAGCTCCATATCCGTAAACGATGCCATTGAGTCCGTAAAATCAATCATTTACTACTTCCTGATCAGGACTGCTGCCCGCTGCCGCTCGCTGACCCGGGGGATGATGTGCGCATATCGGCGCCTGCCCTTTGATAGTGCCGAGGGCTTATACGACTCACATTTTTTTTTTATTCCCCCCCGTTCGGCAACGCGACGCGTCCCGAAATGTGCCATCAGTCACGGGCACGTGGAGTTACCCGCACCCAGGACCTCCTCGATATTGGTGCAATACCCTAACAAGGAATCATACTACTAGACCATCAGGCCATATAAATTTGAATTCCCTAATCCTAACAGCAACAGCTGTCTTCCATTTCTGAACTCCAGAATAAGTAGCTTTATTTGTGCCAATTTACCAGGATCGCCGTATAACGGTGTAAAACATGGCAAGCTCCGGATTATGTGCGGCATCCGAATGAGGCCCATCAGAGCTTTGATGGCCAGTATCCAGGTCGCTTGAGCCCGCTTAGCTCTAAGCGTACGCACACTGGGAGGCGCCGGCCTCGATAAGTGTACGCACGCCGGAGCAGCTCTTTCTCCTTTCTCTCTATCTCATCCTCTTACTCGTCGACCTGCTCCGGTGTGTCCTTGCTTTGAAGCCCCCTGCACGCACCGCACCGCACCGCACCCAGCACCCCCAGCAACAAGCCCTCAACCTGCCGTGGCACCACTTACACAGTGGGCAAGTCCCACGGCCGTGGCTTCATGGCGTTTGAATGTTGTGTGACCGACACTTGCCATGGCGTTGCACAAACCATCACTTTATGTCCCCATATGGCATATCTTATCAGTTTCGGACCGTGAAATGCCGGGATCACAGAGGATGTAAATCAGCGATGCTTTGAACAAAGATTGGAGCTTGAAGAATTGACGGTTGATGTCATGAATGCTAGATAAATGCCGATGAACGACATTGAAGCCCAGGGCGCAAGGGTCTATCTCTGTCAGGCAGGGCTTAAAGATACCTACGTGATTCTTGTCAGTAATGGGTGCCACAATCAAGTTCAGGTCAAATCGACTGTATTGAACAAACGAGCACATCTATGAAGAAAAAAAAATCTATGTTTCAGATGAACGGCTAACCTCTAATCCTCGCTGTTAAGCTCTGCATCAACATCTATCTCCTCATCCTTGTCATCATCTGTATCCTCGAGATTGATCTCCACCTCTTCATCATCGTCAATGTCCGAGTCCAGAATCCCGTTGATCTCTTCTGCTGTCGGGATGTCATACTCCTCCAACACATCGTTCCCATAGACAAACATGAACTTTTTCTTGCCCATAGTTTTCCAGTCTTCGTACTTTTTATCAAAAGCAAACTCCGCGAGGGGAAATGCGACACCGGTGTTTACGTACCGGGTGAGCTCCTTCAACGTGAGTGCATTGTAGAACTCCGGCATAAATAAATCGATTGGAACATCAGCCGGCAAAATCACCCTAATCTCGGAAGCAGGGAGAAGGGGGGTGGAACGAATACGAGGTTTAGGCGCCCTGCGATGATACTCGTTAATTTTAGATCAATTAGGCATTGCTTTGAGCTTACTTCTGACCCACCTTCACATTACGCTTGCGATACACCTCCGCTGCGGGATTGAGTTCCTCGAGGAAAAATTGAGTAGCAACAGGATTGCGGCCGGGCTTCTCACGGACGCGACCGTCCTCGTCGTCGGAGTGGGCTTCCTGGATATAAGCCATACGCTGTACTGGTTTTCGGAGCCCAAGTCTGGCCGCCGTTTGAAACCGCACTTTACCCAACTGAGAATGTATTGTAAGAACAGGCAAAGAACAAAAGAATAAAGACACACCCGTGCGCGGGCCTTGTATTCGACCCCATGCTTGAGTGATTGGCCAAGACTGCTGGGGCGCCGCCTCTCCATCTTGGTCTTCTGAGCTAGCATTCCGTAGGTGTAGTTGTCGTACATATCGCCAAAAAGCTCCGTATTCTCGGCGACCTTCATGTTAACTTCTAAAGCACTGAGGGCGAACAAAGCAGAGAGGAATTGGAAGTCAGACACGGCCAAATGACGGTGAATCTGGTTGTATGTAGAGTGAACTGGCCCTTCGAGGTCAGGACAGAAGCCCTTGAGGCCGGTCTTGAGAATCATGGTGAAGACGGTGGCGAGATGGAGTTCAGGAATGCAGGCGATATCATTTGCGATGGGCCCAGGAGTTCGTTTCACATCCCGGACGAGCTTGGTGGCAAGGTCCTTTGCTGCGCTCACAGCAGTCCGTGATTTGTTGACAAGGTTTCGCATCTGCGCACCATAGTCTTCGATGTCGTCAAAGTGCTTGTCGTAGTGCTTCTGGGCCTCGAGGGCAGACGGAAGCACATCCATCTGGGTGAGCAGACCACATAGTCCCCTAATGAAACGCTGGAACGCCCGCTGCAATTTTATTAGGTCCTCAGACATCAAAGAATAGAAAGCTCAAGCGCACCTGTGTCATCTTTGCGTTGGCGGGAACCTCCGTTGGATGAATACCCCACCGATTGCGCACTCACTTCTTGGCTGGGGCTGTCTTGGCCGCATTGTTTCTAGCTGTGCCCGCAGTGCTGCCCGACGTATTGGCGGACCCAGCACCTGATGCATCTGCGGTACCAGTGGAGCTTGAACCGCCTGCACTCGTGGCCCCTGAGGCACCATCCATCCGAGATCTCTTTGTGGAAGAGGCCCCAGTGTCAGGATTCTCGGCAGGGCTGGGTTTGCGCTTGTGCGACGTGCCGTTGGCACCAAAATTGACTTTGGTCTTCCCTTTCTTTGGAGAAGCCCTAGGCTGGCTCAGTTTCTGTGGCATTGAGATGTGAACGAAAAGTGGTAGAGGATTGAGTGAAAGACGATGCAGGATGAAAGAAAATAATCAATTGAATGCCGATCACTGATCTCTCGACCTCGAGGCAACAACATGGTTGACCGTCGTAAGGCTTGCACTCGGAAAATTATCCCGGTTGAGCTATAAAGCAGCAATTCATGGAGAGTAGAGCACAAAATATGCGCATCACCACCACATGAATAGCTTGGTTTCATTGCTCGAGATCGCGATCATTTCCAAGTGCCGCATGTGGAAGAGCACTGAGGGCCGGGGCAGTGGTGAGACAGTACTGTAAGTTGTTCTTCGTGCTGTAGAAGGCAGATGTTTTGAGCTGCGGAGATGTTCATTGCTGGCCTAGGGAGATCATGGTGGTAGAGAGCAAGGTTTTGGGTGAGGCAATCGGACTCTGCCGCAAAAGATGACAACATGGTTTTTTTCTCACACATGCCACCAGATTGATGGATTGTGCAATGCCGTGGCAAACACCATGGCAAGTGTCGGTCCAATGCCGATCAAATGCCATGAAGCCGCAGCCACGGCACTTGCCCGCTGTGTTACTTGCGCAGCTTCTCGTTCTGCTTTCGGA